CAGGAGAGGAAAAGCAGATATTCAAGACAAAGAGAATCACATGTACAAATGCCAAAGGCATGAAAAGTCTTACAAGGGGAGGGAACGGCAGCCATAACAAGCTGTGTGACAACAAACATAGCTGAACAAGTACTTAAGAAATTAGATGATGAAATGCAAACCTAAGTGATTTAAACTTTATGTTCAAGGTATGAAAGGGTATTAATTTTAACAAAACAAATAAAATATAGGTCTGAAATTTTGAAAGGTCAAATGATCAAGAGACTACTAGAGGAATCTTCAGAACCTAAGAAAGGACATAATGTAGTTGTAGCAGTTAGGGACAGTGTATTGGTTTGAATCTGTAATGTCTCCCATAGACTCTGGAAGCATCAATCCTTAGTTTGTAGCACTCGTGTGAAGGCTATGGATCTTTGAAGCAATAGGGCCTAATTAGAGGAACTGTGTTGTTAGACATGGATCTCTCAAAGTTATATGTGCCATGAGTTCTAGCCACAGTCTCAGCTTCTTGGTTTATATATGAGCAGCTGCCTGATATACCCACCACCATGTACCTTCTCAGCCAGAAACAAAAGCAAAACAAAACTGGAATTTCTCTAGAACCATGAGCTAAATGAAACCTTTTCTCACTAAGCTACTAATACAGCCCATTTTAAGTGGCCTGGTCTGGAGATGTCAATTGGTAATCACCAATATTTTAAGGTTTAAAGGGTAGATGAATAATAAGAGACATGAGTTGTCAACAAAAACTATGCCAAGAAGAAAACAGTGTCCATAATCAAACTTGGTAGGATCTCAGGATTTCCAGGGAGGCAAAGGTCATTAAGAACAAGCAAAGAGCACTCAGAGATGAAAGAGGGTGAGAGGGGCACAGCCACTTCAAAACAAGAGTGACATTCAAGAGGAATAAGCGTGTCCATTAGTTACAGCAGACAGGCCCCAGTTGACCTTGGCTGTGAGTATCTCCATAAAATGGTGGAGTGCAAGTCAGATGGAGGTTGAAGAATTAGCTGGAGAAGGAGAGAAGGAGAGTAGATAGGCTTGAGGTTGTTTTTCTTAATTACAGGTATGTGTTGGCCTTGTAATGTGACTCCTAAGAGAAAGCTTTCTTAAGAAGTGAGAGTGGAGGTACTAATGTAGCCTTGGCCCAGGTCAGTGTCCCATCAGAGATAAACATAAGGCAGGAGGGTGCACTAAGTACAGGAGTTTGGGGGATTGGAAGACAAGAAGCCAATCTCCAAGTTAAAGGGCCATCATGTAAAGGTGAAGAAGAGAGCATTCAATTTAGCATCCCTGTACAGAGAACATGAGGAGTCACGAATTCTAATCCACTGTAATATTATTGAGTAACTTTAAGATTGCACGAAGGTACAGTATGTTGTGGCATTCACTTAGAAGAAGAGCACCTGGTTTCCAGGCTTCTCAGGAACACAGGATAAAGATGATTGATAACTTTCACTATCCTTTGAGTTTCAATTGGTAGACATGTTGAATCAGGCAGAAATTAAGTAGCTGATGAACAAATCAAAAGTGTCTTGCTCACCCAATTCTCTCTCCACCACAGTGGGCTCTCTGATTTAAAACTCCTATTCTTATGTTTTTAAACCTAGGTTCAGAGGCAAAGAGAAGAGTAGCTTTCAAACATCCTCTGAGCTCTTCCATTAATTCTTTAATAATCTCTTTAAAATCTAAGGAAAGTTCGAGGGTTAGCCTGCATTCTGCAAGCCAGAGATTTATGGATTGCTTCTTTTAAGACATCTGTCTATGATGCTAAAGACCACAAGAAGCTAGGGGAGTGTAATCCCTTCAGGTACTGAAAGGGGAGTCTCAGGAAGCAACAGAATCAAAGAACAGTAGCTGTCAGCTGTTAGACGTGCACTCTGCATGAACAAACACTGAAGGTGAATTGAGAATGAAGATGAAAATTGTAAGCTAGATTCTAAAATTCCTGATGCATCATGGGAGGACACAGGGACTAGCTGTGACAGCAGAAGGTTTGGAGGGGTGTACATAGTATCCCTTGGGGTTTCATGGGAGACTTTTTCAGGAGAGTGGTAGAATCATGTTTGGGACCCATGACAGGAGAAGTAGGCAAATACCATGTCTAATATCAGGTCATTAAATATTCCTTTAGGTTTGTACCAATAAATTCCCATCCAGGAGAAATCTGTAGGGCACTACAACATCCTCAGAGAGAGATCAAGGCTTTCTTTGTTTCACTTTATTTTACTTAAAGCAAAATATAGAATGTTCTGAGAAGACAGTAAAAATATATAGCAGATTGATCCAGAAATTATAATTGAAAGAGAGGTTCAAAATGGGGAGAGCAAGAATCAGAGCCAAAAGTGTCTGGGAACAAGCTGTCTCATCCCAGGCTGACTGTCACTTTTCCAGTAAGTCAGGATAAAATAGGAAATGATAAAAAAATAAATAAATAAAAATAAAAAGATTCATACATACCATAAACACTTTATATAACTGAACATAAATGTACACACATGTGCCAATCTTTTGATGTCAGGCCAGGGCCTGCTTTCTGCATATGGATCCACTGATTAGAGTTATGCCTCTTCTGTCTTACATAAACCACATCCTTCATCTACCATTTCCAGTTTTGCTTTCTTTAAAGGGGGGGAGAATGTGAACACACTTGTTAAGTAATCTGAATGCAGAAACTCTACGTTTTTATAAGCACCCAACCAACTGCACGTGCTCTTTTATGGTTATCCTGCCCATACTTCACCAGTAGCCTGGCATTCACATCTAACAATTTAGCAAGGCTTTACAAAGCCTGGAGCTAAATTTTCAGAGAAACCAAACAACACTTTTTTTTATTTTACCAGTTTACACACTGTGAAATCGAGTTTGGTAAAAAGGTTTGAGGATCAGTGCGATTCCATTGCTCTTTGTTCATAGATGCAGGAATACATAACACGCCCAGAGGAAAGCCTCTGCATGGACCACATCTGTGTGCTGATGTCCGCAATCGAAGTGGTTAGTACAGGGTGTAATACTAGGTAATCCTCTGGGTTAGTTGTAGAAGCCAATCAAGAGTTCTTTAGATGCACAGGCAACAAGACAGGGAGTTGAGTGTGGAGTATTAACTGGCTTCCAACACAGTGAATGGTGGTGCTTAAAAGGTGGTTTTCTTCCCCTTGTGCTTCCTCTGTCCCCACCAGCCCTAGCACCTTAACCCTTGGGGCTCTTGCTTTTTGGGAGGAAAGAAGGAAAGACTTGGACAACAAGGCACACAGAACAACTGTAGGAACTCCACAGGTGGGTTCTCGGCTTCTAGTTATTTCTAGATAGCAAGTTACTTCCCCTGCCTCTTCTCATTCAGAATTTATAGCCAGAAGTCTCACTTGCTTGCCTTGTTCACTATGCACAGATCTTCTTCATCTGAGCTTCTCGTCCAGGAGACTGGGACCAGCACCCTTGCCCTTCCTACCATTCGCTTCCAGTAACCACACTTAACAACAAAGAGCAACAAAAACAAAAACATGTTTTCCAGAAACGCTCATGTTCCCAGAGTTAGCTATCATGGGTTAGTCCTGCTTTCCCCTAAATACTACCACTAACTTTCTTTTCCAGTACAAAAGAGTTCTTTAAAAATTTTGTGATGTGGCACACCTTTCATCCTGATACTTGTGAGGCAAAGGTAGGCAGAGCTCTGCAAGTTTGAGACCAGCATGATCTATATAGTGAGTTCTAGGCTAGCCTGCACAATACAGACAGACGTTGACTCAAAAAAATTTTTTTAAAGAAAAAGGAAACAAACAAATAAGTTTAATTTTAAATTTATATATGCCTGTATACATACATGCACATATGTGGGCACCTATATAAGCCAAAAGAAGGCTTCAGATCACTGGAGCCAGAATTACAGGTAGTCAAGAGCTACTACATGTGGGTACTAGTAACTGAACTCCAGTCCTCTGCAAGAGCAGTGAGTGCTCCTAACTGCTAAGCCATCTTCCCAGCCTTCCCCTAAAAGTATTATTTTAATGGTCTTAGCAATGTAAAGTTTTCTCCCTATTCTTCAGTGAGATGCCCCCCAAAAAGGGAAGTCTCTCCCCAACAACTCTCCTCTATAGATTTAATATATATTCAAAGCACAGAATATAGGTTGCTGTGGAAAAGGCCACTTAGAGATCAGGCCTTATTGTGATTAATCAGTGTGTTGGGTGTCCATAAGACTTCAGGCATCACTCTGTTTCATCCTTGCTGTATGACTTCAGGCATCGTACTTACTCCTTCTGACTTAATAATTTATGTGTGGCATGAGAAGGCAGCTATACTCATCAGTATACTACTAATGCACTCCAATGTGTGACATAGGCTTATGCCAATGATAACACCATGACAATGAGGACTAAACAGAATGATACCCAAAGTCTCTGGACACCTAGCACAATGCTGCTGTAAAAATACAAAACAAGTAAAAAGACGCAAACACAAAGAGGCATGACACATTTGGGACAGCTTTGCATTTGTTTTGGAAGGTACATACAGAGAGAAGTCAGAAGTGATGTGTGAATCTGGGTCACTGGGCCTCAGAAGCCTCTTAACCAATATATTACGTTGTTTTCAAAATGCCAGGCTGGAGTGGAATTAATTTACAAAAATCTTTATTGATACAAACAATGTCAATGATGCCCTTATCTAACAATTATGTTCAACCACAGACCCTAAGAATTTGTTTATAGCATTCATCGAATTATCCTAACTGGATGTTTATCTGTTTCAGACAACAAGGAAAAGGATTAGATGACTAAAATATACTCTTTCTGAGCTAAGCAAAGGTATTGCAGGGCATGGTGGAAGGCAATTCTTTGCCTCCTGCAAAGGCATCTTCCACTATAACTTGTCAGACTTTTTCCTTGCACAGACACTAAATGTCTTCAGTGAAGTCGAATTAGGGAGACATAGTCACACAAAGGGATGGGAAAGCTGAAGGAATCAACGAGACACATGCTGGGGATAAAATAGCCCAAACTTACTTTCTTGGTACACTTCTTCACAGTGTTGATCAATTCCTGCATTACCAGGTCCACGCTCTTCAAGGAAGGCCCTTTCAGCTTTACTATCTGCTTTTTTACTATTGCCTCAAATGCCATGTCGGGAGTAAACAACCCTGTCCTGAATGTGAGAAAGAGAACAGGGGATTAGATTTCTGAAGCTGAATAGTAGCCAGCAGTCCAAAAAACATGTTTACATTGACATTCGACTTAAATTAAGCAGTACAAGTATAGAAGGTATATAAGTAACTGGGGAGACAGGCCAGTCACTAAAGTGCTTGCCTTACAAGAATGAGGACCCGAGTTTGATTCCCAGCACCCATACACAAAAAGAAAGGGTAGAAGACAAATACAAAAGGATCTCTGGGCTCACTCTTCAGCCTCCACTGCCTGCTTAGAAAGCATAAAGCTCATAAGAGATACTTTTTCAAAAGCAAGGTGGATGGCTCCTACGGAATGACAGCTGAATGACCTCTGGCCTCCATGTGCAAATGCACACACTTACATGTGCACCTGTACACCCCCACATGCACTTGAACACACACACACACACCACAGAGGCACAACACACAGAGAGAAACATGTATAAACCCATAACACAAAATACTTCTATATATGGTACCTTTATAACACTTTATTGTTTGTTTGTTTTTTGATACAGGGTTTCTCTGTATAACCTTTGTTGGCCTGGAACTCACTCTGTAGACCAGGCTGGCCTCAAGCTCACAGAGACCCACCTGCCTCTGCCTCCCAAGTGCTGGGATTAAAGGCGGGCACCACCACCTCGGGGCTTGAAAGAGCAACAGTCCCTGGGTGGGCACTGTAATACTATCTTAATACTATCTTTAATAATCCTAAAACACAAGTTCCCATCTCACAGCAATGCCCAACACTGAGAAGAAGATCAGCACTTCCCAGCATGTGCCAAGCACTGGGTTCGATGCCCTGCACCACACACAAAACAGCCAAGCATGTTTTCATAATGTACAAAGTAATGTTAACTGTCATTTGTCTCAACTCATTATTTCAAAACAACAAAAAGGAACATAACCAGGCCTCCATAACACTGTGTTCTATGTCTGAAAGTTTTTCAGGAAAAAAAATAGTCTGTGTCTGTAAAGAACAGTACGGATATTATTCTTGATATTACTTATCTAAAAATGTCACACAACAACTATTTGTGAGATTTTTATATGACTTGAGGTATTATGAGTAATCTAGAGATGATTTAGTGCATGAGGAGGCTGCTGTGTGTATGTCATATGCAAGTAAAGTGCTGTTTTATAGGAGAATGTGTATGTGTGAATTGGGCTATCAGGGGGTGGGGCTTCTAAAACCAACACCCAGTAGATTTACTAAGTTTCCATTACTATCCCTAGAGGATTTCAAAAGCAGCTCTCTCCTAACAGCGTGCCTCCCTTTTACATAGTGAAGCAGTCAACTCGTTCCAGGAGGCTGTGCTACAGAGACCTGGCTGGTGCTCAGCCCACAGTCCTTGGGTGCTAAAGGAAGAGAGTGGCTGTAGAGAAGCCATCAATTTCACTCCGATGGTGCACACTTCCTAAGTGATGAATTTATAAAATCAAAGAATGACCAAAATAGCAAGACTCTTCCTTTTGTCTGGGATTCATTCAAAGTTGCTGTCATAATGATGCTTTTCTAGTACAAAGCAGGAGCTCAGGGAAACAAATGTAAGGATAGAGAGCTTATATACATTTCATAAACAATGGAAGTTGGGACTGGGGCATGGCTCAGTTGGTAAAGGACTTGCCATACCAGCATCAGGATCTTTTTTTAATTTTTATTTATACTAAAAACAATCTTATTTTACATACCAATCCCAGTTCTCTCTCCCTCACTTCCTCCTATTTCCCCATCACACACCCCCATCCACTCCTGAGAAAGGGTGAGGCCTCCTGTGGGGGAATCATCAAAGTCTGTCACATTATTTGGGACAGGACCTAGGCCCTCACCTGTGTATCTAGGCTGAGAGATTATCCCTCCATAGGAAATGGTTTCCAAAAACCCTTTCATGCACTAGGAATAAATACTGGTTACACTGCCTCATAGATTGCTCAGGCCCCCCCAACTGACACTAGGCTCCCTGAATGTGAGTATCATCATCAGGATCTTAATTCAATCCCAATGCCTAAGAAGCTAAGTTTGATAGTGTGTTCCTCTAAATCCAGGATGAAGAGAAGGTAGATACTGGACAGGCCCTCTTAGGATCTGTCCCCAACATAATCTCATCCTGGCCCTGTGACAGAAGCTGAGCCACAACTGGTCACTAACAGGAGGGAGGACCTCCTTCCTTCACTTAAGGTGATCCATGAGCCATGAACCAACATCCTAAATGAGATTTGCTTACATTCAGGGTATTTCTATTTAATATGTTCTTGTCAAATCATATTTAGCTTACTATATATAAGCTCAAGAAATTTTTTAAAACAATTTATATCATCGCTCTAGATTATATTGCTATGGAATGAATGTATATGTTTCCCCTAAGGTTCATATGTTAAAACCCTATATACTTGATGTTACTGCATTAGTATATAAGGCCTCTGAGAAGAAACTAGGTCATAAGGATGGGGTCTCGTGAATGAGATTAGTATCTAATAGGAAGAGATCAGAGAGCTTGATTGTTCTCCTTCAACCACATAAGAGCATGTGAGACTTGAACGATGTATGAGCTGAAATAAGGTTCTCATGAAACCACGCCATGCTGGGGAGCCCTGATCACGTGCTGTCAGTCTCCAGAACTGAGAGACAAATTTTGCTGTTGTAAGCTACCCAGTTTGTGATGATTTCTTATATAAGTCTAAAAATACTAAAATATAAAATAACAGAACAATCTTGCTCTGAATAAGGACAAATTCAGTTTCTATATCACTCCCGCCTACATTCTGTGCTCATGTCACTCCGTATTCCTAACCACACTACCCACAACAGCCAAAATGCAAAGCACCAGCTCCATTAAGACTGGCTACACACTGCCATCTCTATAGCTTGACTCACACTACTCCTCCATCCTCAACAGTCTGCATTCTAAACTTCCACCTGCTCGGGTCCACTGTACAAGCTCCTCTACTCATATATCCACATATCTGTATTCACGCATGCACACACACACACACACACACACCTACTCAGAGATGAGTAGAAGACTCACTTCTTATCATGAAGTGTACAGGCCATGGGCATAGGTTTATTAATAATATTATTATTATTTTATTAAAACTTTCTCTAGCAATAGAAAATTCTCAGTGAGTCAAAACCAATATTTCCTCTTTCTGACTTCTCTACTTTCCTCTGTTCTGATGATGAAAAACTACTTTCCTAGTCATTTGGAAATGCTCATTTTCCTTGGTAGATTGAAGACAAGGAAAACACAAATCACTTGCCTGATGCCGTGTATGTTTTTGATTGCGTAGCTTATTTCTCTTCTCAATTCTTTCTCATTGAACTCCATCTGCAGATGCAAAATAAACCACAGTCATGACACTTAATTCCTTTGGATAATATTATTGGATAGTATAGAATGAGGATAACTTGACTTCGTTATTAATAAATGGATACTCATGTCTTTTGTAAGCTAAACCCAGATGGTCAAAACATCTGTTTATATGGAGTTCAAGGCCCCATGGAACACTGGGGATTTCTGAGTTCCAGTGGAGCAGAGATTTTAACTCTATTATATATGAGGGGTGCTGTGCATAAAGAATGCCTCCTGGACATAAACTCAGCCATTCATTTGAAACACAGAATTCCCTATTGCTGAATGTGGTTCAAATGAAGGCCACTGGAGAATGCATAAATGAGAGTATCTCCTGATGGGTGGCAGCAACACAGATGTCTTTTCTCCCTGGCCATTTGAGCCACCTGACTGTAAGACCTCTTAATAAAAGGAAATTAATAATACCTCATCAAGCCAACACAGGATGCATCGCTGTATAAATATTTCCCAGAAGTCTTAGGCACTACAAATCCACTTGGAAGTAGGATCAAAGTGTCATGGAGCTTAGTCCCAGAAGGCACATCCAGAGAGCACTAGATTCAGCTTTGACAGGAATGTAGCCATTCCAGCCTGGCTCTCTGTTCATATCCTCCCTTACACACTCTCCATTTCAGAGCAATGACTTGCCTTAAGTCTCTATCTTATGCTGTGGCTTCATGGCTCAGAGCCTTATGAACATTTCTGCCCCTTCTCTGCCTCTTACTACTTAAGCCAGCTACCCATCCTTCCAAACTCAGTTCAGAAGTCTGGCTCCCTTGCATACTTTGGCTGGGATTCATGTCTGTGGGTGGTGTTTCCATAGTACTCTGTGCTGAAGTTTGTCACTTTACTTAGCACATTTTAATAAAACTATCTGTTTACCCACCTTCTTCCCACACCAATACATAAACATCCACCTCCTTGCATGTGAGACAAGTGGCCCGATTCCTATCTCAGCTACCTTATTGGGCAATAAGTCCCAGCAAACCCAAAAACACGCTGACAGTTTTCCTTGGTTCCCCTGTCGGATGGGCACCACCACTCATTTAATGGCAAAAGCCAAAACTTGGGGAATAATTTTGAATCTTCTGGTTTCTGGCCCTTGAATCAATACAAGTCTGTCGACCTTACCTCTAAAATACCACACTTATCCATTTTTCTCCATTCTCTCTTGTTACATCATTTTTACTAAGAAACTAATTAAAAAGTTACATTCCAGACCTTCCTTGCATAAGATCCCTTCCAAGATTATGCACATAATCGTGTGTTTATAATTTTGCTTTCTTCCTTTGCTTTAAAGGACTCCTGAGATTATAGAAGTTTCAAAAATTGGTTCATCCACCTGTGGCCAGACCCTACTCTTCCTTACCATATCTATTGCTTGCCCATCGGCCACCCAGCAGAAGCGGTGTTCTTTGGGGGATTATCAGCTCAATCAAGCCACACGCCCTGTGTAGAAGGCTCCCGTGGCTCTCCACTGCTAAAGGTGAGCCCCTCACTGCAACCATCCTCCTCGTCTCAGCTAGCTCTCTACCTGCTGGGTCTACTCCTTGTTAGCACACTTACTCCCAGCCTGTGGCCTCACATGAAGGCACAGCTTCTTCCCAGGGTCAGTCCCTCCCCAGAGATCTTCATAACACTGACCTCCTGATGCTGTGCTGGTCATAGCTAACCTGCCCTTCATTCAGAGAGAACGTGTCTAAAACATCCCCCGAAAAGGGACTTTCACATTAGGCTACCATAATAGCATTTGAAATTTTCTTATGCTGTCTATTTTTTCATTTTTTTTGTATATCCATATGAGACAAATTAGACACTTCTCTACCTTGATCCCTAGAAATTTGGCCCATAGGAGAGTCTCAGAAATATTTTAAATTAGAAAACTGATAAATTGCCAGGCGGTGGTGGCTCACGCCTTTAATCCCAGCACTCGGGAGGCAGAGGCAGGCGGATCTCTGTGAGTTTGAGGCCAGGCTGGACCGACAGCCTCCAAAACAATACAGAGAAACCCTGTCTCGTAAAACCAAAAAAAAAAGAAGAAGAAGAAGAAGAAGAAAAGAAAAGAAACTGATAAATGTCGTGGAAAGCTCAAGCATTATTTCTTGAAGCAATCTACATGAACTCACTAAAATCAGAAAAGGTTATTTTGGGTACAACGGGCTTTATTCCAAGAGCGCTATCGGCCCTAATGCATCACATCACATCAAGAGAGGTGCAAAAGAGAACGTGGAAATGGCACGGGGCAAAAGGAGAAAGGAACACTGGTTACGAACCTTCACTATCTCAAAGGGAAAACGCTCGTGGAAAATGCGGTTGATCTTAGCACCACCAGAGAGCTCTAACGTGTCTACTTGATCCCCCGACCCTTCGATTCTCTTCTCAAAGTCCACAGCAAACTGCTGGACCATCCTAGAGTTGAGAAAGAGAAAGAAACTTGAGTTAAAGTTAGTTAAAGTTCCTCAGCTCTCCTGTCCTTGCCTGGTTTTCCTGGGGTCTTGGTTTAGGCTCCTTTTCTGGTGTTCTTAGTGGCACCTACTGGTCAAGTTGAGAAGGCCATGACAAGAACACAAATTGCTGAGATCTATTTTAGACTTTTAACTAGAGTAAATATTTTAAATGCCTTTCTCTTTAAGTATTCTCTGTTCATTGTTCTAACATGAAATGGTATTTATGGAGTGGTTGAACTAACATTAAAGTTACGTGATAAATCTGAAGTAGAATAGTCAAGTGAGCCTCTGCTCCTGTGACATCACGCTTGCCCATTCTCGGCTCCTGGTACTCAAACCCCTCACAGGGCACTGGCTTCTTGTCTCCCTCCAAGTATGGAAGCCCTAGTCTCGCTCCCTCATCCTCCAGATTTTTACTGAATGGTCTGAGATGGCCAGAGCATCGAAGGTCATCATACACAATTTTTCCACACCTTCAGATGCCATAGTTCATAGAAGTACCTTGCCCACATGTGCAACTGTGTGCTGGGCATGTATTTTTTTTATCTGTCTTGGAAGAACACACCTAAAACTTGAACCACTTAATTTCTGTCAGTCCTGAGCCTGCTAATTCTCCTGCCTTGGCCCAGGCCTCAGCAACCCCTTTTTGGGACTAAAGTTCCTCTAGAATTCTGTCCTGATTCTACGATTCTATCCAGGTTTGACCTTATACTGCCACAGCCATACAAACCTGTCATCACAGATTAATACAACTAACTCTGGCTTGCTTTCCAGTAATTTCCCACAGTTTGGTAGAACCCGTTATCTAGTATTCTTCATGCTGCGGCCATGGCTGTTCTTGAGATCTATTCAAACATGAAGAATCTACTGGCCAGTCCCCAAATGTACTGTGCCCCTGTGTTTTTGTGCTTGTTTGGGGGTATTTATAGTACTGTTGACTCCATTCCCTGCCTGGCTAATGCCCTTCTTCTCTCAAGACTCAGCTGAAGTAGTAATTCTTCCAAGAAAGCCCTCATGATCAATGGTCCTCTGCAATCACCATCACCTACCACTGCCCAGGTGAAGGGGTATTCTGCCTCTTCAGCCTACTTCTAGAAAATACTAGATCACATCACATGTGCCTGTTTCCCTTTCAGTCACTTCCCTGAGGGCAAGGGCTCATACTTGGTTTGTCCTTGCACGAAAGACATATAAGAGATTCTTAATAAATATTTGTGACATGAAGTAATTATCTTAGGATAACTGGTCAAAATAAAAGAGAAAGGGAAAATTATTTCCATTTTCTATAACTTGGTTTGGATTTCTAATTCTGACATACTAAAACTGCTATTTTCAAATTCAAAATCTAATAGAAAAATATTTCTGGTTGTCTGAAGCTGTTGTCTTTTATTGCCAATAAATTTATTGGATATTATAGGTTAAAGTAATTACAAATTTTTAAGCCATGTTCAAGTGTCAGCTAATGTTTTTAATGGTTTTTGTTAAACATCTGGAAAGTTGTGGTATATGCACTGTAACACTAGAAGTTTCTACAAACTTCTATCTCTGTCAATTCTTCCCATACCCTTCACTTGGTGGCATTGAAATAAGCTTTCCCCGGCTTCACTCTATTCTCTTACTCTCCTCCTAAGCCTAACACACTCCCCTTATACTTCAGGACCCTGAAGATTCACTTCCCCTGGGAATTAATACTTCTCCTCACATGTACCTGACTCCTCCTCTGGGCTCCAATGTTCTCTACTTCTGATAAACAGAATTTACTAGAGTCTAACACAACTCATCATTTGCACATATGTCTTCATGACCCTCTCCTTGAGTGCCACGATTCCCATTCATTGCTGACTCCATGGTAGGTAATGCAGAGCCAGGGTCTGAGTAGAGTGCATGAAAGGATAGCAGGAAGAGGGAATGAAGGAACACTTTGAGAAAGACAGGATCACAAGAAGATGAATCAATAGTCTAGTCGACAATCCAACAGTGAATTATTCTGCAGTCAAGACCCATGAAGTCACAGAGGCAAAGACCAGTCTTTGCATCCTAGCTTTAGATGGACAATGAGATAATGATGTATGACCTCAATATAAATATATTTCTTTTCTATGTACCTTAAGAATTTTTATGAGTTTAACCAAAGACAAGAAGAAACAGACTTGGAAAGAGAGTTCTACTCTTTAATTTTTTCTTCTTTGTTATGGTATTATTTTTAAGTGAAATAGAACATGACACAATTAAGATGCCAGTAAAACCTTTTTAATATTTAGAAAACTTTTAATTTAAATAAAAATAGAATTAAATCTCCTGATCATCACTGGAGCAACAAACACCAAAATTGGTTCAATTTGTGATATCTTGCTTGATATCACAAACAATATCTTACTTCTGACCAAAGCAAAGACCACAAAAGGCATTTCAAAGATAAATTATATCTTCCCCTCTTTCCAAAGAACTGAGACAGTAGAACAATGCTAGATCTTTGTCCATCTGAATGGATGATGAGGTTCAAGTTGCAGGAGGACATTATAGCAGTCATTAGATTAGCAAAGTAGCCCAGGTTTACAGGAAGAAATATGTCACTTACACTGAATAAGTACAACAGGGAAGCTCTAATGTCACTGCTGTTCATCTGGGCACTCACCCCACAAGTAGGTTGTCACCAGATAAAACTGGAAAATCATAGCCAAAAATATTGCTAGAACCAAAAGCCAAATCTCACCTACCAAGTAGGGAAGGTAGGGAAGAAATCAGACAAATATAAGAAGGAAAGAAACTATTGTGATGTGTAGAGAGTAAGAGGTCCTTGTGTACACAGATAGGAGAAGCTAGGAAAGTTAAACACACAGGTTTGTCTCTTCAAAGGAAGAAGATGCTTGTGTGTCTTCTACTGGAATGCTGGGAAAGACTGTAGTTTATGACCTGGTAATCTTTTGCTATCTCTGGGGCCAGGCTTTACCGGAATCCCCCAGAATTCTATGCTTGTTTATCCCAGACTTTTTCCTGTCTAAATCTTGAGCACTGTTTCTCAGTCCATAAAACCCACCCAGATGAGAGATGTCACTTGTGCTTTATAACAGCCTAAGTAACTTCTATGCTATCTTAGGTCCAGGCCAATCCTGACTCCCACGGGCATTATGTTTACCTCAGTCATTCTCTGTAGACTCTTATCTTAAGCATTGTCCCTGAGTCATTGGAACCAATCTTTATGGAAGATGCCATATGTACTTTGTAAAGAATTTCGATGTAAACATGTCTTAAGCTTTGCTGTACACTTGGGACTGACCTAATTGTCATCAGGAATTTTTTTCCCAAAATTGTGCTGTGCTTAAATATGGCTAAAGTAAACCACCTGGTATCAGACTGCAGAAATTTGGCCCAGCACCAGCTAACTAAGTAGTGTTGAATCAACTTGTCTTTCCTCACTGCTGGCTGTGAAGTGTACAGGGACCACCCCCACACACAGAGGAGATACAGGAAGAAAGGAATCTTATATACTAAAGACTGGTTAAATGAAAAACAAAGGAACTAATTTTGCTTTGAGATGCAAGGAATAAAAGTGCCACAAAATAGGCCTGGGAAGTGCTTTAGTTGGTACAATGTTTGCAACACAGGAAAGAGAACCTGAGTTAAGAACCCTAGCACCCACATAAAAAGTCAGTCACACAAACATGCATTTGCAACCCGCCACTGGAGGTAGGGAGATAGGAGGGTCTCTTGGGCTTGCTACCAAGCTACTCTAGCTAAATTGATGAGCTCTGGGTTCTGTGAGAGATACAGTCTCAAAAAATAAGGTGGGGAGCAATCAAAGAAGACATCTGATGTTGACCTCTGACCTACACTCACACACCCTCACACACATGCATGCTCCCACACACATACATATACAACACAAATATAAATAAGTAAATGATAGTGCTACAAGAGTCATCAACTATCATTGCTGATAGACAATACAGGTTATAGGAATAGTATGTAGCAGTCTTTCAGTTAAGACAGACCTAGCACAACTTGAAGCACAAGGATGAAGAAATGGTGAGGTCAAGAGGGGTCAAAGGAGAGAGGAAAAAGTGTTCTCTGGCAACTCTACAATCCTACCCTACTGACCTAGGGAGAAGATGGGAAGGTCATGAAGGAGGAAAAGCCCTAAATGAGTTATTAATGCTTGATGTTTAAACAGCCATATTAAAATCATTACCAGAAAGGAAACGGCAATTGAAGTGTGACCTTATTCTCTATAGTTTTTAATTGGATATTTCATTCTCATTCTACTGAAATATACATACAGGCTAATCACAGGAGAACTTGAAATAAAGAAGATAACTTGACATCTATAGATTCAGCTATAAAATATAAATGATATGCTCATCTCTACTTACTTCTGAGGCTAAGGGAAGAAAACCCCCGCTGAGTTAGCACTGCAGGTTTTACCCCTGACTGAATCCATGGAGATGGACAACTGGTTAAATTTATAGTAATAGTAAAATCACCAAGTGTTCCTTGAGAAAACATAATGATTCAGGAGTCACTGTATAACACACAGAATCTCATCTATGCTGCTCACTGCTTCTAGAAAACAACACAACAGATGAAAGCAAATCAAACAGTCTCAAATGAACACACAGAGAGAAAGGTGACCCACTGCAGCAGAGCTTTCGTCTTCCTCGTGGGGTCTTCCGGTTTGAAGTTTTTGTAGGCTTCTACTTCATGTTCTATGGAGAGCAACTGTCCCTGTAGTTTGTTCCTGAAGTTGGGTAGGGTATCTCGAATGTGGTTGGTAAGTTGCTAAATAAAACACAGCAAAACCAGACATGTGTATGAGTGAAGATCAGCGTGTGAGAAAAACTTCAGCTCCACTGTTGCCCTCACACCCCCTTAGAATTCATGCACATTTGAAACAGACTGTGTCATCAATGAGGAAGAAGCAGCATCCATGCTTCTCCACTGCCTTTTAGGGATGCTCAAAAATCCTTAAATTACTCACTTGGGTTATCTTTTTTTTGTCCTACCACAGCCGGCTAAAATTTACCTGAAGTTATTGGTGGGGCTGCACCACATTAGCACTGGGGTAACTTAGATCGATGTTCATAGAAAGGAACATTTAACACCTTTAATCCCAGCATTTAAGAGGCAGAGGCAAATGGATCTCTGTGAGTTCAAGGCCAACCTGGTCTACAGAGCTAGTTCCAGGACAGCTGGGGCTACACAGAGAAACTGTCTCAAAAGATCAACCCCTCTCCCCAAAAAAAAGAATGAATGAATGAGAGAGAGAGGGGAAGGAAGGAAGGAAGGAAGGAAGGAAGGAAGGAAGGAAGGAAGGAAGGAAGGAAGGAAGGAAAAAAGAGTATTAGAAATGTTGGAATTGGAGTCTCAGGCACTATCTGATGTTTTCATTACCAAATAGAAGAGCATCCTGGTGGCACACAGGTGGTCAAAGCCACTACAAGTAGCTGCCAACTGTTAACTTTCTCTTCACTTTGGGCCTCAAGAAGCCCTTTTCACTTTCCTCCATTTCTCAGTGCCATATACCTCTGACTGGTCACTGGTGTATGCCATCAAAGAGTTGGTTTTAAAAGTTCCATGACTAAGCAACGGATAGCTCTCTGCCACCGACATCCCTACCTGATCATTTGGTTGGCAATGCCTCTGCCATCACTTTGTACCTCAAATTCAGTAGGACAAATACTTCCAAAAGAATCTATCTAATGATATATGTTTAATTAAAGGCAAATGTGAGCAAGAAACACAAGTGTTCAGTTTTCTGTCATGTATTCTTTCTATAATGAAGTTTTAAAAATCTGAATTAAAAGAAACAAAGATTCTTGACCCACTGAAGTAATGTACTAGTGATAAAAACTAAGAGCCATTACAAACTTCAGAGAAACACAGGAAAAACAGAAAAGGGAAAAGGAAAAATAAATGAATACTAACAAGAATAAATATATCAAGACTGGGTGAATTATTTTAACTTGTCTTTTTGTTTATCTTGGGTTATTTAAATGAGCATAAGTATTCAATTAACCCATGGTCACTTAATTGTTAGTGGTTCATGGCTCCATCACTCACTATTAACAAGTATGAATTGCCTTTCTTCCCCGACAGGTACTTCTGTTGTGGCTATTAAAAGGGAAACAACAGAAGGAAGAGAATTGCATTTTCAGTAACAATGTCACAAAATATAAGGACCTAGACATAAGAATAACAACAATTACGAAAAACAGCAATTACCTGATGCCATGTGGGCTGTCAGAAAATAAGAACAATTGCTCGTTTGTGCTTTACAGTCATCTCAATAGTAGAGCAACATTGTATCCTTTCTTGGCATTCTGAAACATGTTTCTCCTTGACTTCCATAACCCCAGCTCCTCTAATTTTTTCCTAATCATTTTCCATGTGTCTTCCCTTACCCTTGTAATGATTCTTCTCACCAGACAAGAAACATAGAAACTTTCAACTATGGATCCTCTGCCTTTTCTCAGCTCAGTGAATGTTCGATCTTAAGGCATCTCATTGTATCTGTGGATTTGGCAAATATCCAAACGGTTTCTCCTACCATGTTATCTCCAAACAGGACTTCCTATCTATGCCATAGGCATGTGTGTTTATCCGTCTCCTGGATCTATAAATGACACCCAGCCTCAACACACCCAAATGAACTACCTGACATCTACAGTTTGAATCTGTGGTATTCTCAAATGGCCAGATGTTAAAAGCTTGGTTCTAACATCTGCAACTATTGGAACACTGAGGACACAGGGATAGTGGAAGGAAGATAGATTTCTGGAAGCATGCCCTTGAAGAACATTGAGATTTTGGTCTCTTCTTTCCTTTCTGGCAACCAAGAGGTGAGCAGCCTGTGTTGCCATGGGTCCAACACAATAGAATCAAGCGATCATGGACTGAAACTCTGAAACCATGAGCCAAAATAAATAAATCTCTTTTTCTTGTAAGAGGTTATTTTATCATATCAAGGAAAGCCAACTAATACACTGGGAACAGGAGTCAATCTCATTGCTCATCAGAGTTCTCCACTATCCATCACAAGCTCATAGTGTCACTGAGTTTTCAATTCTTCTCAACATTTCTCAAATCTACTAGTAGACCAAGCTACCATATTTTTCACTTTTCCTTTAACTGATCTCCACAATTTTAATCCTAACTGGTCTACAATTAATCTTCCTGTCTGGGGCTTACATAGTATTTAACTCATCAAAGTGACCCTTTCATTACCTTAATCAGGGGTCTCTTGAATAAATCTCTCTCCTCATGATAATATCAAAAATTCTTTATTTACACTTGTGAACATTAGAGGCCCTAGCCACTGTCTGCCTTTCCAAATTTATCTCTTACTACCTAACACCATTTTCCATGTCTTCCAGCTACACTGGCATTGCTCTCAATCCCTCAAAAATGCCACAGGTATACATCAAACCTCTGATGAAATTACCCCAATTTCTAACACAGAGAGAATATATTTGAAGCAACAGAGAGCAATTATATATGAAAGATAAGATCTTCAGTTCAAAACCCAGTCAGACTCCATTCAATATGAATCTAATTATGTACTAACTTGGTGATCACCTGTAACTAAATGGTTAATTATGCAATTCTACTTTTCTGTTATTTAAAGCCTACTTTATTTCTAACTTATATGTCCAATTATATTAGTGAATTTCCCCAAGGATACTTTTCGAGTTTTTTTAAATATTCCTAGGCCAATATAGGTATGAAAACAATAACATAGAAAGTGTTACTAACACTGGATACATTGGCATAATATTGTGATTCTTGGGTGACTGACTTGTGTTGTCTTTACTGCCATCTTAAGTGACACAGCCCAAATGCTGCCTCGTGGCTTCAAAATGCTCATTTGCCCTTAATTAAAAAGCAGAAATTTATCATAGCATGTTAATCACTTAAAAGTATACTACTGATCTTTTTTTTTTCTAAAACTTACTCAGTTGTTTTACCCAAGTGCTTCAGATACAGTATCAGCTGCTGTTACTATGGCAACCTCCATTGATTCCTTCAAAAGGCCAACATCAGTACATTTGTGACTACCTGACTCATTGTGTACATAGAGAAGAGTTCATAAAGAAGCTATTAGGATATTTGTGACAGAAGCTACTCACAATACAAAGTCGATGCAATGGAAACTGGAGAAGGAAACCTGCATGACCACCAATGCTTGTCATGAAGTTCAACTCCCATATGGAAAGAAGATATGTAGGTAAGTCTACCGAGGACTTATGGGAAAAGTGTATGTGTCATGGGAGAGGGTAGGCTGAATGCCAGTTCCAACTCTTTATTTTGAGTGAATGTGTTATCAGGAAAAGGTGTTTTTGATTAGTGGAAATCAATGATTATGTCATCAAGATTTATTGTTTCAATATTTTAAATTAAGAAACCAATAAAGATTTAACAAAAATGTAACAAAGTTAATGGAAAAATCTAACCTAACCATCATGTGGCTTTTGAAAGAGACGTAAAGAGACTACCTTGTCAGAGCTGCGTAAGTTTAACTTAAGATACAATGTGTTATGAGTACATGCTCACACATGTCTCCTGTTCTAAATTTCTTGCTCACTGTCCTAAATCGGTATGTTTTTGCTTTGAGTACTGTCAACAATATTGAGGTGAATTCAATTCAATGAAAAAGGTAACTGTGTGGGTCCAAATATTGTCTTTTAAAATTATCAAAAGCAGAGTATTTTATCTGGGAAAGAATTATTTATTTATTGTAGTAATGTTTACATCTCATAATTGTACTTACTGCTTGAAATGATAATTTTACCTGATTCAGGACCTTCTGGAGGTGGGGTGTCCCCATACGATCCGCAATATGTCTATAAGCAGGGTGAGAAAGAAAAAATTTCCTTTCTGCCAACATGGCCGCCTTAATGTCCTTCTTTCCATCTATGTCCTTCTGGCTTCTGTTGACCACCCCCACGTAGCCTGAAACGAAAAACAAACCTATGACATTTGGCACACTTCCTGTCATTTGTTCTAGAGAAATGCCAGGGCTCTCTAACAGGCAAGATTAATTTTAAGGCTAAAGATTGATTCTCCTTGCAATATTCCATCTGATAACTATCCAATAACTGCCACTTATTTGTCTATTGATAAATTGTTAAAATCAATAGAATAATATCCCTCGCCTTTTAAAGCTTTATCACTTTAAGAAACTATATCTCAACAATTGTATCATATAGCAGGCAAGTAAATATCCAACTTAAAACTGAATGGTGTATATTTATGTAGCCTATGATGAATATTTATAACCTTCCTTCAAATTCCTTCCTTTCCCCGTTTTCCTATTCCTGTTATTTTAAGAGATAGCTCTCCTTTTGAAACGTTCTTTAATACAACACTTGGGAACATTGTGCCATTCCCTATGAAGTATAGCTAACAATAAATCACTGCCTTCTAAGAGAGGAAGCAAGAAATCCTAGCCTCTCTGTGGCTCAACAGTCATTTCTCCATCGTATTATAAAAAGCGGGCCTGTAGAAACCACAGTCCATTACCCCTGCGAAGAGGCAGCAGCTTGTTCTCCAGAACATCCCTGGCATCCGTTCCTTCATCCATGAGATCCAGCTTTGTTATAACACCAATGGTTCTCAGACCTGTATCATAAACAAACACAATTGTCACTACACAGTTTGCAAAAGAAAAAAAAAACTTAACCAATTCAAGGGGCATAAGTATCTCAACACTAAATGTAAGGTTCATAGTCCAGGCCCTTCTGTTTCTCTCTAGCTTCCTTTGCTTCTTGTTTATTGTCATCCCAGGCTGTTGATTATCTGTGTGATAATAAAAATGGTTATGAACCTACTTATCCATGAGATGATTTTCTAACCAAGAGAGGAAAGCAGCTATATCACAAAAATACTTCTAAATACAGCCTTTCACTGAACCGCAGGAACATACTCTGAGAACTGTGTTGTGTGTAGAGTTTATCACTGTGCAATACAATCATCACAGAGCATGTTTATATAAGGTAAATGGCACAGGGCAGTGTCTCAAAAGGGGCTCCTGATGTAAGCAAGAGATGCAGTCAACATGAGACGTGTGAGACTGCAGCCAGCCTCAGACAGAATAGGGTTTTATGGCTGACAAATGTGTATACACATGTGTGTAGGGGTGTGCATGTTCATGTGTGTGCATGCCATATGGACATCTGAAACAACCTCAGGTGCTCCTCCTAGAGCACCATTGACCCTCTCCTTTTTTCTTTACCAATAAGCTCTCTTGGTGGCACAAAACTAACTTAAGTAGGCTAGGCTAGTAGGTCAGCAAGTCCCAGGATCCATCTGCTACTTCTTTCTCAGCACTGGGATCACAAGCAGGCAAAACCAAGTCCAACATTTTGCACGGAAGTTCTGGAACTCAAATTCAGGAACTGTGACGCAAGGCAAGTGCTCTACCAACTGAGCTGTAACTCAGCCCCTTGGTACTTTTATGAATAGAAAGAGAAATAAAATAGCTCTTAGTAAATAAATCAGTAACACAGTCTTATATTACCATTACAAAGTTTCATGTACATACATAATTGAATATGTAACACCTTCATAGCATTGGCAGAGGAGTGGGCAGGTTCATAACAGCATCACCACAAACATGAGGAAGCAGTTTCACCATGGTGTTGTGAAGGCTATGACATCACTTGGCTCTAGGAATTTTTAAGTTCCATAATGGCCTCATGAGACCACCTTCATGTATATGCAGCTATGAATGGAAATGTTGTTATAATATCATTGTAACTGTATGAGTTACACGCAACAAAGATAATGAAACAGGCAGAGAATTTCATTATTTTTATTAATATCCCTGAAAAAAAAGAAGTCTTTGGATTCATGAAGAATCAAACACCATAGAAACACTCAGATAAAGCAGAGCAGAGGTGAGGATGTAAGTAGAAAGGTCAGAAGATGAAGTTGCTGAATCATTACGGACAACAGTAGAGAAATGCCTCTAAGAACTAGATAGATGATTGTGAAGATACAACGTCTGAACAACTGGTGTCCTGGAGAGGAAGTGCATGCAGAAATATTCAGGCCTTAAGAAGATCCTTTCAAAAACATCTGTTCACAAAGTGAAAGATATGAATTTATAAGTTGAATGAACTCAGCAAGTGCCAGCACCAAGTGAAAACATACGCAATTTGTCATGTCAATGTAAGATTTCAAACCACTAGAAACAGAATGTTCCAAAAATTCTGCCAGATGAGTTTAAAAAGGAAGACGCATGAAGATGGTTGGGAGACATGCCATCTCAGCATTCCCAGAAGCTCACTGGAAACCCAAAAGCAACAAAGAAATTGCTCAAAATTGTAAAGAAAAAAACTATTTAACCTAGGATTGTAATTTACCAATAAGTGTGACAGTAGAAAAAACTGACTATAGACTTGCCAAATCCCAGAATATTTAAATGCCTTTTGTTTTTTAGGTACCTAGAAAAGTACACACCCTACAAAACAGGCAACAATTTAAAGAAGACATGAAACCAGGATTTGTGCGGTGTCTTCAGTAATAGCCTTGCACCCCATTTTCTGGAAGGCACCAAGGCCAATGGCAATAGTCTATATTGGTTTTTTGGGGGGGAGGGGGTTTAGAGGGTATTCCCCTGTCCCCAAACTCAAAGGTTTCCCAAGCCTGTCACTGAGGTTTTGTTGGATAGCCTATAGTTTTAGGGAGGAGCATTGCCCCCCAAGTGGTATAACTGCAGATATATACATGTATATTTTATGTAATTTTAAGTAAATATAAAATAGTTTCTTATGACTTTTTCAAACATTCTTAGTGTAACTTACCCCTCTTCTCCTCCTCCCCAGCTGTGTTTGGAATCAAATACGCATGTGTGTGTGAGTGTATTAGGTATGGAAGAGAGGTGTAAGGACTTCTAAGATTTCTTCCTCCACATTACAAAGTCAAATAAAAATTCAAAAAATTTAAAATCAAGAAGTGGCAGTATAATCATATTATATAGAGACAGAGAGGCAAATACCAAATGCAGGGATGAAAGTAGGTACCTCGGGAACAGGGAATCATGGACCAGGAGGAATGGAATCAAAAGACTTTATCAAAATGGTGGGCAATGTCTTTTACCATTACCAACTCACACACACACACACACACACACACACATTACAGTCACTAGATATAGATATAGGTAGATAGAGATCTTAAATGTGTATAAGATTTTAAGGAATATATATGTATAATTTTAATTTTTTAAAAGCTGGTTAAAAAGCATCTCTTTCCTACTCCTGTCTTTCTGAAAAGGCAGCGAAGTCTTTACTTAATGAGGTGGTATACCAGAAATGGAGAAGAGGCCTATTTTCTTTTCTTCACATTTGGTTCCACAAATAGGCGGCTTAAAATAATCAATGAATGAACTCCTGCTGATAGAATCAAGACCTGCATTGATGGATCTCAAAAAGCCATTGTCAGACAAGATTTCAAAGGCTTTCCAGGCACACCCCTGGGAATTTATTGACCTGCGTAAAACAGAACACATTGTTGATCCCTGATCCTGTGCCAGTCTCATTAAGAACTCAAAACGAAAACCATATGAGATGGGTGCTATTATTTTCTCAATTATACAGGTTGGGGAAAAGTGAGAGGAGAAATACACTTGCCTAAGGGGTCACAGACTCAACACATAGAGCTAGAGTTTGGTAGTGCTAAATTCAACAACCTCATTCCATTTTTAACCACACTAATTTTCTACACCTCAATTCTTAAATTCTATACATAATTAGTTATGTTATTTGACAGCTTAGTCATAACATCCAGTCCCACCTGTCTATAGAACTAGGGGTTAGCTCTAAGTCAGAATTCTGGAGAGGGCAATGATTTCCAGATTTAAAAGCGGTATCTTTAGTGATGAAGGAAGAGCAGCTTACAGGTTAAGACATTCCTGACCCTCTTGATAAAAGAATAAGTTCGGAGATGATAAAATTGTTACTTTTGTGTTTCTGCTGTGCTTTTCTCAAAAAAATGGACATGGTTCTGAGAACCAGTGAGTCCTGGGAATTACCTAGAGGAGACATGGACACTTCAAAATTCTATTGCTTGTGTCAATGGAAAGTCAAGTGTCAAGTGCACTGACCTTTCACCCCTGCTCTGGGTGTTCATTTTTTTCTACAGTAGGAAGCTGCATCTGCCAGTTGGGCAGCCACACACACCACGGCTGTCCAGGAGTAGTTATTAGCAACACTCTTTGCAACTCTCAAAAGAGAGACTTTCTGAAGAGGTCTTATAGGAATTCCAGCTCATCACCAAAAGAGAGAAGATAGCAACTTTGGAATCTAAACTAGAGTAGCAGGAGTCTAACCTGGCAGGTAAACATCTCACTCCATTTCCACAACACGTAAAAATATAAACAGGCAAAACTAGCAAGAACCCCTCACACATATATCAGATAGAAGATCACCATGAAAGATACTGCCAAAAATGTCTTACAAAGCCAGGCATTGGTGGCACACGTCTTTAATCCCAGTACTCAGGAGGCAGAGGAAGGCCGATCTCTGTAAGTTCGAGACCAGCCTGATCTACATGAGCGAATTCCAGAACAGCCTCCAATGTCACAGAGAAACCCTGTCTCAAAAAACAAAAAATTAAAATTAAAAATTTCTGGCAAGACAGGTGAAAAACAAACAAACATAGAAACTTAGAAGCGAAAACCTCCTTGGCAATCAGCCTCAGAGTAGAGAAACCTGGTTTGTGCTTCCAAAAGGCAATCTTTGGGGCATTAAAGAGGATGTGTAATTATTCAAGGACAAGGAGGTGTGGCTTCACAACTGATGTTGTTACAGATGAGTAAACTAAGGCTCAGTTTTGAGGCAGGGGATGCTAAACACAGACTTCAGTGTGAAAACCATGAGGAAGAGCAAGACACTGCCACATTGTGTACACGTGTGTGTGTATCTGTGTGCATATGTGTGCATGCCCATGTGTGCACGTGTGTGTGCATGTGTGTGTGTGTATGTGCCCATATGTGTGTGTGTGTGTTGCTTCCAGAAGCTCAAGGCAGTTCTTATGCACCAATCACCTGTGGCAGTGAGAGGTGAGTGGCAACCAATCTGAATGCTGCCAAACAGCCGTTCTTCTTAACATGGTGTCGTCCTTTCTTCTCATTTTGCTGTCATCAGCTACCCTGACAAAGGCAACTTAAGGAAGGATGGGTTTATTTTGGCTCACAATTTACAGTGCATGTTATCATGATGGGGAATTCAAGGCAGCAGCAGAAGCTTGAAGTAGCTGTCACGTACAACAGTCATTAAGGAGCAAGTATACATGCATCCAATGCTCAGCTTGATTCCACCATTTGATATGGTCCAGAATCTCTAAGGAACAACCCCACCCACAATCAAGACAGGTCTTCCTACATCAAGAGACATAACTGAGATAGGCCCCTATATGCATGTCCAGAGGCCCATCTCATGGTTCTAGATCCTATGGAGTTGATAGATAAGACACTATAATCATCACACATGGTGTACCCCAGAAGAAGCTGTCAATAGGGACTTCAGAGAACTTTTCAGGGCTAAACAAATTAATTTAAGGAAAATGTTCACTTCTAACCTACCCTAGCCAACTCTGCTCACCAAAGAAAATGGGAC